CACACACACACACACACACACACACACACACACACACACACACACACTCTCAATATGTATGTTGAGTCCTCTGGGGCAGAATAACAGGGTCCCGTGGTTTTCCTTATCTGCTGTGGAGTGGCTATTTTAAGCTGTGCGTTTAACACACAGACAACCTGCTACATGTAATAGATGACTGTGGGGAGCAACAGAAATCCTACTAGCGGGCGTATGTATGTCTGTGTGCATATCTGCACGCGTGATTAGGTATGTCTGTTGCCGGGTGTGCTGCGAGAGAGTTCGGCCATCTGCAGAGCAACAAGCCAGGACCTCAGTGACCGTCTAGATAAAATATGCATCGCCTTTTCTCATCCTGTGTCTTCGCTCTCTGTGCTGCATGTGTCTGGCTGGTATCCTTTGTTTCCATCACATCCCACCCTTTCTATCTTTTTTTTTTTTTTTTTTTTAATCCAGGTGTAGTTAACTGTGAGAGGACACTCGGGTGTTCGACTGGGCAATCAGCGGCTGTTCAGACGAGGAGTTAACCATCACATCTCAAGTTGCGGTGAGCTGAAAGAACGTTTGCTTGCGGCGCTGTGTTTGACTGGCAGTTTGACTTTGCACAAGTTCAACTTTCATTTTTTGGTACCTTGAGGCTCAACACCCAATGAGGACGTCTGACATCAGACTGACACAGACTGTGTTTAACCTCCGCATGGAACAGGAAACGCCCAGCATCATCAGCACCTTCTGTTGGCTCTCTTTTTCACTGTCTGCTGAGTCCCAATTGGTCTCATGTCCTGATGTAGCTCCTTCTTAGTCTCAGAGGTGAAAAGTGCAGTGAGATAAACAAAGGAAGGTGGGGGGGGCATCATATTAATGAATTAAAAGCTCTAATCACGCTCGTAGCTGTGAGGGATTTCCAGTCCTACATTTGGCAGAATCTGGAAGCGCCGCTGCTCTTTAATTGTGGCTCTCCGTTCTTCATCAGTCGAGAGGGGCCGCATCTCGCAGCTATTTTGAATACGTGCGCAACAGCGGCGCTGCTCTTCACACAACGAGCACATTCTCACCGCCAGCCATTGTCGCTTAGCTCTTGGAAAGCGCTGCCGTCGGTGCAGCAACTGGCGGGGGAGCAGAGCTGGAGACGAGTCAGCCTCCGCCGCCGCCGCCGCTGCTGCCTGGGAGCGGATCCGAACTGGCTGTTTGGAAGAGAAAAGTGTTCCCAAGTCTTCAGAGAGAAGCACTCTGGTTCAAAGCCAGGGAAACTGGCACACGGCGAGAGAGCAGGGGGGAGGCAGATACAGAGATGGAGGATGAGGGAGACAGACAGAGAGAGAGAGAGAGAGAGAGAGAGAGAGAGAGAGAGAGAGAGAGAGA